AGGCTGTAACGGAAGACCAGTAGACGAAGGGAGACTAAGAACCTGGCGAAGCACAGAGTCAGGCGGTGGCTGAGACGACGGAGACGGTGGAGCGAAGAACAGGCGCGGCTGTGCAGTGACACCAGCACCAGCAGCTCCAGTACCCCCAGCAGCTCCAGAACCTCCAGCACCAGCACCCTCAGCAGCTCCAGAACCTCCAGCTCCAGCGCCACCAGCGCCAGCACCTCCAGCAGCTCCAGAACCCTCAGCGCCAGCTCCTCCAGAACCAGCTCCACCAACAGCAGCACCCCCAGAACCGGCACCTCCAGTCCCAGGGTCTCCAGCCTCAGTGCCTCCAGCAGCAGCACCCTCAGGCTCAGCACCTCCAGCCCCAGCAGCTCCAGTACCTCCAGTACGAGCACCTCCGGGACCAGCACCACTCCCAGCTCCAGTGACGTCAGCAGAAGTACCTCCAGCGGCAGAGCCCCGAGCTCCAGAAGCGCGACCCTGACGGCGACCGTACCAGTCGTGCAGCTGCTGCGAGGTGAGAGGCACACGCGGACGAAGGCGGCTACTCCAAGGAAACCGCGCAACAGCAGACTGAGAACCCTCAGCGCCTGTACCCGCAGCAGCTCCAGAACCTCCAGCGCCAGCACCCTCAGCAGCTCCAGAACCTTCAGCTCCAGCGCCACCAGCGCCAGTACCTCCAGCAGCTCCAGAACCTCCAGCGCCAGCACCCTCAGCAGCTCCAGAACCTCCAGCTCCAGCGCCCTCAGCAGCTCCAGCACCTCCAGCAGAAACAACTCCAGTGGCAGAGTCACCAGCTCCAGCGCCTCCCGCAGCAGGGCCCCTAGCTCCAGCAGCGGGACCCTGACGGACAACGTACCACTCAAGCAGCTGCTGTGGGGAGAGAGGGAGTCGACGACGAGAGTGCAGCGGCGAGGCACCAGCGGAGCGACTACGGAGACGGTCGCCCAAGGGAGACTGCTCACCTGACGCCTCAGCGCCCCCAGGCTCAGCACCCCGAGACTCCGCACACCCAGGCTCAGCACCTCCAGTCTCCGCACCCCCAGGCTCCGCACCTCCAGGCTCCGCACCCCCAGGCTCAGCACCCCCAGGCTCCGCACCCCCAGGCTCAGCACCCCCAGAAGCAGCAACCCGAGCAGGACCACCCTCAGCAGGACCTGAGTCACCAGTGACCTCAACCGGCTCACTCAAGGGAGGAGGGTCTACCTGAGACACACCTGAAGGAGCAGGACCGGGAGCGGGGAGGGGGTCTACCTGGGGAGCACCTGGAGCGAGAAAGAGCGGCGGGGGGGGGAGAGGGGCAGTGCGGTAGGGGAAGAGACGGTAAACGGGAACCGACTCGTCGAACGTGACATCCTAAGAGGGGAAGACACGACGCGAGGTGGGGTGGTAAAACTGCCAACCAGGCGCGTCAGGGACAAAGCCAAGGAAGATACAGGGAACAGCGCGGGCGGAGAGCTTGTCCGCGGTGGTATCGCGGACAAAGGCACGAGCACCCCAGACCCGGAAACGCGACGCATCGCCAACCTTCCCCGTCCACAGCAGTGTGGGCGAGGTCTCCGGCAAGGAGACACGGGGCCAAAGGTTGAGCTGATGCGCGGCGTACCGGACCGCAAACGGCCACAGAAAATGGGGGGCAGCCGCATGGATCATGGAGGTACGAGCGACCTCCATGACTAAGCCAATGCGGCGCTCAGCAACCCCATTCTGCTGCGGAGAGGCCGGAAGCGTGAACGACTGGCGGATGCCGTGCTCCGCACAGTAGGCTGCCAAGAGGTCTGAGGAGAACTCACCACCTCTGTCAGAGTGCAGACGCAGGACAGGAAAGTCCGACTGGAACCGCTCGCGGAGCTGGAGACGAGTAGCGCGGATCCAGGGGATCAAAACATCAGGGACCTCCCCCTTGCTGCGCAAGGGGAAGACCGTGGTGTAACGCGTGTAGTCGTCAACGACCAGCAAAAAGAACCGCTCGTGGCCCTGTCCACGGACGCGGGCTGGGCCCCACACGTCCAGGTGGAGAGTCTGCAAGGGAGCCTCTGTGGGAGGGAACGAGGAGGAGTGAGGAGCGGCGCGCTGCCGCCCCTCGACACAGGGAAGACAGGGAGGAGCAGGCGAGGGTGGTAGAGGAGGCAGAGTCTCTAGAAGTCCAGAGACAAGGAAACGGCTGTGCATGCTACGAAGGCGCTGCACCGAGGGGTGACCAAGGCGGTGGTGCCAAAGGAGGGTCTGGTGCGACAGAGCGCGACACGAGCAGGGGGCCGCTAGCTGACTTGACGCAAACGCAGACGCAGACGCAGCTACCTGAGGGGACACAGTGGTGAGTGTGTACAGACTCGAGCCAGGCTCTCGGGTGAACGTGGCCAGGTGCCGACCAGTCCGGGAACACGTACAGTGTGTCACACGCTGACCTCCAGGGGTGAACTGGTCAACCCACACATCCTGTAGGTCAGCTCCACTCACCAAGTTCGTAGAGAACGAGGGGAGGTGAAGACCTGACAGGGAGCCAGACGGGACCGCCGGACACGGCAGGACCGTGGAGGAGTGCGCAAGGACTGGACCCCCAGAGGGGTCTGCCAGGGAGACTGCAACCGGCCGACGGAGCGGCGTGAGTGTGGTGGTGCCGCGAAAGAAGGAGCGGGAAGCACCTGAGTCAAGTGTGAAGGTGTACACGGCCTCAGCAGGCACAGTACCAGAGAGAGCAGACTCAACAGCACCTGGAGCAGCAGCCTCACCAGTACCAAGAGCAGGAGACACACTCGCACCTAGAGCAGCAGCCTCACCAGCACCTAGAGCAGCAGGCTCTATACCTGGGTCAGGCGGTACGCATAGGTAACAGGCACGGTCAGCACTAGTAGGCAATGCATACATGGCAGTGAGAATAGCATCATAGTCAAGAGCAAAGATATCTACCCTCTGTCCAAGCAGCTCCAGCCAGGAGGGGAGCTCAGCCTCGTCGCCAAACTCGGTACGCCAGGCGTCGCTCAGACGGGCGAAGCAGCGGGACTGTGTGTGACCAAGTGTCCCGCAAGCCTGACCGATCCGATCACATGTGCGAATGACGTACGGGCAGCGAACGGTACTCAAAGACCCTCTTCTCTGAGCGTACCACTCGTGAAGCTGCTGGGACGTAAGTGTCTCGCGTGGACGCCGCTGCAGGTGCAGCTGGCCACTGCCAGACGCTCCCAACTGACCAGCTCCAGGGCGACAGCTACGACGGCGACCGCCACAACCCCAACTAGCGTACCACTCACTAAGCTGCTGGGGCGTGAGAGACTCGCGTGAACGTCGCTGGAGCTGCATCTGGCCACCGCCAGTAGCAGTAGTAGCAGCAGTAGCAGCAGCAGCAGTAGCAGCAGCAGCAGCAGCAGCAGCAGTCTAGCAGTAGTAGTAGCGCAGGCAGGGCAGGCGCGGCAGGCAGGCAGGCAGGCAGGTAAGTGCTCACCAGTGGCGAGAAAGGCAGGCTCACAACGGCGGCGACGGCGGGGCCGCGACAGCTGCGGCAGAGCAGGACCGCGTCGGAGGAAGGGCAGGTCCGCGACAGCTGCTGCAGGGCGCGGACGTGACGGCGGCAGAAGGCTCCACGGCAACTGCTGCAGGGCAGGGTCGCGACGGCGGCAGAGCGGCGTCCAGGGGCAGCCGCGGTGCGCGGGGCTGCAGCGCGCCACGCGAGCTGCAAACGCGGCGCGCGAAGCCGCCGCGGGCTGCGCGAGGACGGCAGCCGCGGCGCGCGGGGCTGCAGCGCGACGCGCGGGCAGCGAACGCGACGCGCGGCGCTGCAGTGCGACGCGCGGGCAGCGAACGCGACGCGCGGCGCTGCAGCGCGACGCGCGGGCAGCAGCGCGACGCGTGGGCTGTGGGCGCGACGCGCGGGGCTGCAGCGCGACGCGCGGGCTGTGGGCGCGACGCGCGGGGCAACGAACTGGCGGGGCGGCGCCCTGGGGTGTCTGCAGGCGCGGCGCGTGAGCCTGACGGGCCTGTAGGGGCGGCGTTCTGGCCTAGGGCAGCAGTGGGCAGTACGAGGGCTGCAGGACGGCGCGCGCAGCGCAGCACGTCACAAGGCAAGGCAGGCAGACAGGACAACACGTGGGGTAACACGGTAACCGCAACGGTAGGTGGGCCCGAAAAAAAACTAGTGCTCTGAAACCATGTCAGAATCAAGCAGCAGGAATGAATGAACTATGAAAGAGTTGGGTACAAGTATGAAACCCTAAAAGGGGCTGTACCCCATATTGGCTACCCCACTACAGCCTACATATATAGAACATGCATATACTTTGACAGGAAACCCCCGCCTACCCCCGTAGAGGACCCTGCGTGGCAGCATAAACGTTGCGCTGGCAGGGAATCTTCCCCACCCTTCGAGAGGGTTCGGAAGAAATGCACATGCCTTAGGACGGCAACATCCCCGTCACTGCTGTCACGTTCGATGGTTCTAGACAAAATTGTGCGGTGGGAAACCGAACCGCTGCAGTTTTTGCCTGAAATCCATGCACGATCACACGTGTTGCATGGTCGGTTGAATTCGCCTTATTGCGGGCTTCAATTTGGTATGTTTAAAAGTGATTTTTTTTTTCCTATTACAGGCGCATGCGCTTATACAAATGACTCAATTAGAAGCGCACCCCCCTAAAAAACACTGTTTTATTATAAGCGCACCTGCGCTTCTATCCGGGGTAATACGGTAAGGGCGGTGATGGGTTACACCCTCACTTCTGTACCACCCACCAGTGTTACCGTAACATGTAGAGATGGTTTCTCTAGATTGCACATCGGCCCTGCCTGAGAGTTCCTATACGGCCATGGGGATGCTTCAATAAGGAGATACGGTACCGTAATGACTCCCCCTCTCCTTGGATAAAAGGCCTCGTAGGAATTTCATTCAGGCAGACCCGTAACAACCCGGGCAGCAGAACAGCAACTGTGAAACCTTGTGAAACCACTACCAGTATTTAACCACCAACGCCGCCCGCCACCATGTGAAACCTTGTGAAACCTTATTCAACCACAAACGCCACCATGTGAAACCATTTTGTATGCGGCACAATTGTCAATGAAACACGCCCCTCATGCACTTCCCCGTCCTCTAAACGAATAAGACTGCTGTTGAGCCTCCAGTGCGTTAAAGTATTCCCCACCACAGGCACCTGCAAGAACCCCACATCCCGGCCATTCACCTGCACATCTGCACCGTCCATCTTGTGCTCCTGCTTCGTCCAGTCCAGCATCTTGTACACCACGCCAATTCCCCGTGTAGCCCCCCGCACATCCACAGCCACACGCAGAGGAGAGCGAGCAGCCTGGGCCTTCCAGCACAGGATCTGCGGCACCAGTGGCCCACACGCCTCCTGCACCCATGTCGCATTCGCCTCCGCGATCCTCTTCACACTCGCAGCATCCCCTTTAGAGGCAGCCTCCTTAACCGCCGTGTACCCCTCGGGAAACTCCACCGCGCCCACAGCCGTGACGTTCCAGGTGTTGCCCAGCACACAGCGCGGGTGCGGGTCTGCCGCACTCTGCAACGGCGGCAGCATGCACGGCGCCGAGAGGGGCGGGCCGAGAGCCGAGAAGCCCAGGTCACCGAAGCACTTGCGGCAGAGGGAGTTGGGAGGGCAGAGCAGGGCGGACTGAGTAGAGGGGGCTGCCTTGCCGTCCACCCAGTCAAGGCGCAGGTGGTGGCGGGAGAGGGAGAGGCCCTCACGGCGCAGGTAGTGCAGCGCGAGGGAGAAGATGCGGTGCGCTGCTAGACTGCCTGCCATGCCGTGCCCGGCAGCAGAGGGATGCACGCGGTCCACAAACATGTGCGCCCATGTCAGGTTCTCCGCAGGCTCGGATGACGGCGGGGACAGCACGCGAGGCTTGGCGGCAGGCTCGGAGGGAGGTTCGGTGGAGGCAGGGCAGGTTGGGGACGCTGCGGTGGCAAGGAGGGGGAAGTAGGCTCGCCAGGGGCTGACAGCGGGGACGCTGTAGTATGCTGAGAGGTGGTTCAGAAGGGCCTCGGCGGAGTGGTGGAAGGCGGAGAGCAGCGGGTCGTGCGGGTGGAAGACCCCGAAGTTGAGGAAAAGGACTAGTGGGTGTGATGGCAGTAGTAGGAACTGGCGAAGCAGACCCTCAGCTGCTGCGTACTGCGTGCCCTCTGTGGTGAGGGAAGGGGGGAGAGAGGGGGGGGAGATGGAGAAAGGAGATTGGTAGAAGCGAGCTGGGTGCAAGGGGGTGAAAGGGCATGGTGAATGGTGGAAAGAAAGTAAACATGGGATACAGGAAAGCACCGTGAGGGTAAGGAGGCAGCCAACTTCAAGTTGGGCCCTCACATGAAGTTGTTTCCCGCCCCTCACTACTGTATGCGTCACCAATCTCCTCATGCCGAACAGTGGAGGGAGTGAATGGAATGGCATGGAAGGGATGTGTGCGGGCGTGCATGTAGCGCCACCCAGCCCATGCAACCATGCCATTCCACCATGGTGCCCCCCACAACCTGCCTGGCCATTCGAGTGAGCCTACCTGGGGGTGGGACCATGCCGGGCTGCAGCACGGACCAGTCATTGGCAGCGCACTCCAGCAGCACCACGTCCGCCTCGCCTGCTGCACGCCGCTGCTCCTCCCCGTCCGCCCACAGCGCCCCCACCAGCTCCCCCGTGCAGAAGTGCAGCACGTATGAGCCGGCTCCGGGCAGGAAGGCCCGGATGAGACGGTGCGGAGGGGTTGAGGGCGGTGTGGGGAACACCTGTGAATGGAATTGGGAGACGAGGGATGGGGAGAGGAGTGTGGGGAGAGGAGGGATGGCGAGAGGAGGAATTGGGAGAGGATGGATGGAGAGAGGAGAGATGGGGAGAGGAGGGATGGGGAGAGGAGGGATGAGGAGTGGAGGATGGGGAGAGGAGGGATGGGGAGAGGAGGGATGGGGAGAGGAGGGATGGCGAGAGGAGGGATGGGGAGAGGAGGAATTGGGAGAGGATGGATGGAGAGAGGAGAGATGGGGAGAGGAGGGATGGGGAGAGGAGGGATGAGGAGTGGAGGATGGGGAGAGGAGGGATGGGGAGAGGAGGGATGGGGAGAGGAGGGATGGGGAGAGGAGGGATGGGGAGAGGGGGGATGGGGAGAGGAGGGGGTTGGGAGCGATGGGAAGAGGAGGGAATGGAGATTTTCCAAGTACCCTCGCTAGGAAGGGGAATGGGAATGGGGGCAGAATGAGGTGGAGAAAATCTTGCAGAAAGGAGAGCAAGGTCAAACAAAGACGACCGGCTCAGGCACAGAGACGAACCGGATCGCCATGGGCCAAAGCAGGCATTGCATTTGGCTCATGCTTGCCTCATGGCCAGTGGATCATTTCCATCTCGTTTGTCACAATGCAACCCTTGATGGCTCACTGGTGAGTTCATACCTCTACGTTCTACAGCGACAATGGTGGGCCTCAAGATTCCAGCATACACAAAATGCATAGCTACATCTACGAAAGGGTTTGGCCAGTTCTTCAAGAGAGGCTTCATGAGTTGAGCCCTATTTTTATATTTAGCATGCCAACGCAGTGTATGAGTATAGTCTGCTAGGTTAAAGCATTAGAGTGTACATTTGTGTTGGGTTGGCAATCCACCGCAATTCTGATCGGAGACCCCAAGCACAACAAATGGACCTTATTAGTGACAGGCTTAAGCCACCAACTTGTGGTCAAAGCAGCCCCCTTGATCTCTAGACTTCCCTCGGCTTCTCTTCACTGTGCATGCACTCGTGCTCATTTAAGCAGCTAGAAACTAATCATCTCTTTCACCCACCGGTTCCAATATGAACATCCTGAATGATTCCTCGCTCAGCACCATCGCCAACCCTCTCCTCAAGTGAATCAATGAATTCTCCGACGAACCTGAACCTCTCCTCATGCACTCATATCCCTCTCCTAACCCTTGATCCCCTCCCTCTTCCCCCCTCCCCACAAGAACCACACACCTGCTGCACCCAGCCCATGAGCGCACCTGCTGCACCCAGTCCATGGCGATGGTGGATGATTAGTTGCTTGCTTCTGAGCAACTAAACAGTCATCAATCACCATCACCCACCACTGCCGAATCATTGCTCATCCTCATTCCACTAAACCCTAAACCCTCGTCCGCATTACTCCCATGCTCTCCAAGCCCTCTCCCACCCTCCCCCTTTCCTTCTGCCCATCCCACAACAACCACGCACCTGCTGCACCCAGTGCACGAGCGCCTGGCCATAAGTGCCGGTGCCGTGCATGACATGACGCCATCCCTGCGGCCCTCCTCCTCTTGCACTCCTCCTCCTCCGCCCTTCCTAAAGCAACCACACACCTGCTCAAACCACTCCACAAGGGCCTGGCCATATGTTCCGCTGCCGTGCATGACGCCGCCCGGCAGGTGCCCCGCGGCGGAGATGGAGCCGCCCACCGCCAGCACCGTGAGCGGCCGCCCTGCCAGCAGCTTCGCCAGCAGCACCAGGAAGCGGTGCAGCGGCGGGTCGAAGGCAGCACTCCTCTGCACCACGTCCACGCCGTAGCTGGGGGAGAGAAGGGGGGCCGGGGTGGTGGGGGCAACAGTGGCGAGGTGGGGACACAGGTGAGTGTCCTGCCCGCCAGCAGGTTCGCCAGCAGCACCAGGAAGCGGTGTGCTCCTCTTCTGCACCACGTCCACGCCACAGCTGGCAGCAGGGAAGAAGGAGGGTTGGGGTGGGGCGACAGTGGGGAGGCGTGGGGAGGGGGAGGAGGTGGGGGCCTAGGTGAGCGCCTCCCTGGCAGCGGCAGCAGCAGAACGTGATGCAGCGGGAGGGAGGCCCGAAGGTTGAACACTGCACTCTGCTGCACCACGCCCACGTCGTAGCTGGTGGCAGGGGGTGGGTGGGGGCGACGGCGGGGAGGTGGGGAGGGGGAGGAGAGGAGGGTGACAAACAATGACGTAAGCAGCCGCCCTGGCAGCAGCAGCAGAAAGCGATGCAGTGGGAGGATTCTCAGGCGCCTCAAGAATCGTTTTTGACGAAATGCGGGGTGCAAGGCCGAGCAGCAGAGGGGCACAGCAGAACCAAAGGGTAAAGGGTAAAGGGTGGCGGAGGAATCGAAGGGAAAAGAGAGCGGTGCGGTGCTGCACTCCTGCCCGTCGCTCCTCTGACTTTCCCACATCTCCGTCGTTCCATGCTTGCACTCGTTCCCGCGTCCACACCCTCCCCTTACCTTGGTCTGCCATCCCATCCCTTCTCTCCCCCACTCGCCACTCTCACCGCTGCTCTCACCGCTCCGCTCACCGCTGCTCTCACCGCTGCTCTCACCGCTGCGCTCACCGCTGCTCTCACCGCTCTCACCGCTGCTCTCACCGCTGCTCTCACCGCTCCCTGCTCGCTGCTCACCGCTGCTCTCACCGCTCCCTGCTCGCTGCTCACCGCTGCTCTCACCGCTCCCTGCTCGCTGCTCACCGCTGCTCTCACCGCTCCCTGCTCGCTGCTCACCGCTGCTCTCACCGCTCCCTGCTCGCTGCTCACCGCTGCTCTCACCGCTCCCTGCTCGCTGCTCACCGCTGCTCTCACCGCTCCCTGCTCGCTGCTCACCGCTGCTCTCACCGCTCCCTGCTCGCTGCTCACCGCTGCTCGCTGCTCACCGCTGCTCGATGTCCCACATGGCCTGCTGCAGTCGCCGCCCCACCTCCAGGCACTCCGCCGCCATCGTTGCCCCCGCCGCACCTACCCACACGCCCCACCCGCCCTGTAATCCCCCCCGCATCCTTCCGCTGCTCCCCCATCCGCGCACGTCCCCTCCAACTCCCCATCCTTCGAACAGCAGTGGCGGGGCTCTGAGTACCGGGGAGATTAGCAGCACAGCAATCAGCGCAATCTGCGGCCGCAAAATCCGGACAGAATTCATCGCAAATAAGGGGGATTGCGCTGTCGACACGGGTTCATGTCGTCAGCGACTTGGTCGGGGTAAACACATTCGCTAGTAGCTGCTCACGTATGGGTAGTTTCGGCCACGGGCGAAAGTTGCTGCTGGTGTATCGTCTGGAAAGGTTGATTGTGATCGCACAGTGCGTGTGCGTGTGGTTGGTTTTCTTCTGTGCTTACGATCCATTCTCGATACGGGGAAAGCGGGAGTACAGCATGGTAGTTTTAAAGTTCAATATTCTTGAAAATTACCAAAATGAGTATAGATCTTACAGATGCGAGATCGATCTTAAAGATCCATACATGACCGCTTTGATCGTAACTATTGTTCGTTTACCTACTACCAAAGCTGTTTTCGAAATTTTAGAGAGAATAGGGTAGATGACAAGGACATATGGCATAACTATTCATAGCACCCGATTCTGTGTGTCAGATTGATGAAGCCTAATAACATGTAGCGGGTACCAAGTGTAACGCCTGTGGGCATTCCGCTGCCGAATGATTCAAGAGCAACACCCTCGTTTTGACTCGAAGGTTAGCGAGCAGGGCTGTCGATTGGTTCCAGGCTAACACTTGAGTGGCTGAGGTCCCCGAATTCCAGCCCTGAAATTTGCGGAAAGCGGCGTTTTCCAGCCCTTAAGCGTCCGGGAAACCCCTCAACTTAGGGTACATTCCGCTGTGGACACTGTCCCAATCGATGTGTCCCAATCGTTTCTACCGCACTGCATCGTATTACACCAAATTGCACCCTAGTTTAGAAAATTTCGCGTCTCTGGTTTAGTTCGGTTCGGAGCGGTACACTCGATTGGGACACATCGATTGGGACAGTGTCCACAGCGGAATGTACCCTTAGGACTTGAATTCAGGGCTATGTCAGAATCAACTGTACAGGAATGAATGAACTATGAATGAGTTGGGTACAAGTACTAACCCACTATAGCCTAGAGAGAACACAAACATATAGTTTGACACACCCCCATAGGCTAAGAGGGAGTTAGCAAACACAATAGACGGTCACAAGACCAGTCAAGCAAGAGAACAAGCAAAGCAAAGCTCAGGGTTATAATATGAGCACAAGCAAGCGGCCACAAGGCCAGTTCACATGCAGAGTTATAATAGCAAGGCAGTACACTGATCACAACCTAGCAAGAGTAAACAAGCAGGTATAAACAACAAGAGCAAGTCAAGCAACCAGCAGATGAGGCAGAGTGGGCAGAAGCCCAAGAGCAGTGCAGAAACGCTAATGATCACCAGACCCAAGGGCCTTGGTGAAGACATCAGCAGTGTTGGCCCAAGAGGCCACGTACGCAAGGCGCAGCTGACCATGCTGCTGCAGCTCCCGAGCAAGAAAGTAACGAAGAGCAATGTGCTTCGTTCTGTGCTCCAGTCTCTGCTCGCGACACAAGGCAAGCATTGCCTTGTTGTCGGCGTACAGAACTGGAGGAGAACGAGGCCGCTCTCCCAAGTCGGTCAGCAGGTAGGTCAGCCAGCGTAGCTCCTGTGCAGCCATGGCCCCAGTGTAGATCTCGGCCTCACAGCTAGAACCAAGCACAGAAGAAGAACGAGTGAACCTCCACGAGACAGAACCAGAGCCAAGACTAAAGGTGTAACCCTGTGACGAACGCTGAGTCGCCTGGTCGTCGGCCCAAGAAGCGTCGGAGTCTCCCGTGAGTACCACTGAACCCCGTCCTCCAAGCACAAGCCCCATGCCCGATGTACTGCACAAGTAACGCAGTACCCTCTTCGCAGCATCCCAGTGCACCTTTCGGTGTCTACCATGAGCCACGTAGCGAGCCAGGAGGCTGAGAGGGTACGCGAGGTCAGGTCGTGTGCACGTCATCAGGTACATGAGGCAACCCACCAGCTCTGGGTACGGACCAATCGGCTCTACGGACTCGTCCGAAGGTGGAGCTGAGAGCGAGTGACCGGTAGACAGAGGAGTGGGCTGTGGCGAGGAGTACTGGAAGCCAAAGCGCTGGAGGACCTGGTGCACCATGTGTGACTGAGTCAGGGTGATGGAGCGCCGTGCTCTGTCCCAGGTGATCTGCAAGCCAAGATAGCTCCGCAACTCACCCAGGTCAGTGCAGGTGTGTCTTTCCTGCAGCTCCGCCTTCACTAGGGCCAGCGCCTCCGTATCAGCAGTAGCAAAAACAAAGTCGTCGACGTATACGAGAACGTAGAACGGCGGCAGGGTAGTGTCGGTGCGCAAAAACAGCGACGGGTCAGCAGTCGAAGGAGCAAACCCAAGAGCCGCAAGTGTTGTCCTCAGTGTGTCGTGCCACTCGCGAGGTGCCTGACGGAGGCTGTACACTGGTCGCCGTAGGCTCCACTGGGTACCCTCAGGAAACGACCTAGTGAAGCCAGGTGGACGGCGCAGCCAGATGGCATCGTGAAGGCTGCCCTGCAAGAAAGCTGTGGAGAAGTCGAGGGAGTGCAGCTCGTAGTCATGTTGAGTTGCAACGTGTAGCAACACCCGAAGAGTGGTCATCTTCGGGGTGGGGGAGAAGGTCTGAAAGAAGTCAACCCCCTCACGCTAACTGAAGCCTCGAGCAACGTAACGTGCCTTGAAGGCATGCGGAGAACCCGGCGGCCGCTTCACCCTGAAAATCCACATGCCACTGACGATGTTCGCCCCAGGTGGGGGAATCTCGTCGACGTAGGTGCCTGTGGACCTCCAAGAAGCCATCTCTACGTCCATGGCTGTCTGCCACTGAGAGGAGTACTCACCCAAGATCGCCTCTCTGTAAGAGCGCGGGGTGGGGATGTCAAGTGCATCCGGGTCTCCCTCAGGGGCAAGCAGCATGGTCGCGAGATGAGGTGCAGCGGCCGCAAGACACTCCAGCTCCTCTTATCTGTTCTCAAGAACGTCATAGCCAAGGGCAACCTCACCCCCAACGGACGGAGGACAAACAGACTCAGACTCAGTAACAAGACTCGCGACGTAGTCGAAACGACTCCTAGCTGCAAAGTCGACCAGCTCAGTGACTAGGGAAAACGCAGCAGTAGACTCAAAGTCAGGGTCAGTGACGACAGTAGCGAGGAGACGAGTGACAGTAGGACTGGCAGCACGAGCAAGGTCGGACTCAGGGTCAGGAACGTGCGGAAGAGAGGACGCCGGAGGAGACGGCAGGACAACACGCTGTGGAACAGAGGAAGGACGAAGTGCCATACTGTGAGTGCCTGGGACAGCAGGAGGACGAGGACGGGTGACACGACGAGCACGAACAGGTGTGGAAGCACGAGTCTGAGGCTCACGACGCTCAGTCAGGGACTCAGTCACCTCAGTGTAAGGAGCAGGAGCAGGCAGCGGGGAGCCAGGCAGTAGCTGTGGCTGAGACTGGTATGTCGGTGGACACAGGAGAGGTAGAGTGAGGCCAGTGGAAGACGGGAGACTAAGAACCTGGCGAAGGACCAAGTCAGGCGGCGGCAGGGACGACTGCAGCTGCGGGTAGAAAAACGGTCGGCGCGGGGCAGTACCAGCAGCTCCAGCTCTTCCAGCACCAGCAGCACGAGCACCTCCAGCACCAGCAGCTCCAGTAGCACCTCCAGCACCAGCAGCACCACGAGCTCCGGCAGCGCCAGCACCTCTAGCACCAGCAGTACCTCCAGCACCTCCAGTGCCAGCAGCTCCAGCAGCACCTCAAGCACCTCCAGCACCAGCAGCACCACCTGCTCCGGCAGGTCCAGCACCTCTAGTACGTGCACCTCCAGGACCCGCACCTCCAAAACCTCCAGTACCTCCAGTACCCCCAGCAGCACCTCCAGCACCTCCAGCACCAGCAGCACCACCAGCACCGGCAGCTCCAGCACCTCCAGTACGAGCACCTCCAGGACTAGCAGCTCCAGTACCTCCAGTACCTCCAGCTCCAGCGCCTCCAGCACCGGCAGCACCTCCAGCACCTAATATAAGCAGCACCAGCACCTCTAGTGCCAGCAGCTCCAGCACCTCCAGCACCGGCTGGACCTCCAGGACTAGCAGCTCCAGCACCTCCAACAGGGTCACCCACAGCTCCACCGCCACTAGGACTCGCATCACCCCCAGAGTCAGCACCCCCAGTCGTAGCACCCTCAGTCGCAGCACCCCCAGAACCCTCACCCTCTGTCTCGGCACCCCCAGGCTCAGCACCAGCAGTCTCAGCTCCAGAGTCCACAGCAGCAGGCTGCGGAGGCGGCGAAGACGGCCGAGGCGGAAAACCAGGGGGGGTCTCCAAGCGTGGAGAGCGGCGAGTGGGCGCCGTGTCGTCAGCGGCGGGGTCGCCCCCCTCAGCTGGGCCAGAGGAGTCAGAAGAATCCTCCAAAGGCTCAACCAAGGGGGGTGGGTCTACCTGAGACACACCTGAGGGAGCAGGACCCTGTGGGGGGAGGGGGTCTACCGGGGGGGGGACTGGTACCAGGAAGAGAGGCGCTAGGGGGACCGGGTGGGACGCGTGCGGGTGTAGCCTGTAGAAACAGACAGACTCGTCAAAAGTGACGTCATGGGAGGAGAAGACTCGACGCGAGCGCGGGTGGTAGAACTGCCACGGCGGGGCGTCGGTGGGGAAGCCAAGGAAGACGCAGCGGAGAGTGCGAGAGGAGAGCTTGCTCGCTTTGGCATCGCGAACAAGGGAGAGCGCGCCCCAGACCCGAAACACCGACGCATCGCCAACCTTCCCCGTCCACCGGAGTGTGGGCGAGGTCTCTGGCTCAGAGACACGGGGCCAGAGGTTGAGCTGATGCGCAGCGTATCGGACCGCAAACGGCCACAGAAAATGGGGAGCAGCCGCATGGACCATGGAGGTACGAGCAACCTCCATGATCAAGCCAATGCGACGCTCTTAGGAGCAGCTGGAGCAATGCTAGGAACTACAGACAAATAGACACCAGCCTAGGAACAGTCGGCTAGGCAAGGCGGGCTAGGAACGCCAGTCGGGGCACAAAACCGAAACTTCGTCAGAAAAAAACGAATGCGGCTGCCCGCCGCCGTTAGAGGTGCCAAAGGCAGGAGGCGTGCACGAGACAATGGGCACTGCTGGTACTGCGGGCCGCTATGGGCGGTTAGGATGAGATGTGGGCGGTTGGTGTCTGCTGCTGGCGGTAAGTTCCAGCTAGTGCGGCCCGTGCGAGCGCTTCTGTTGGATGTGTGTAATGCAGCCGTGCGCTGCTGCGTGCGGGCAGCAGGCTGAGTGTGGTGTGCGCAAGGCTGCGCGT